TTTATTTGAAATAAACGTTAACAGAGAAGCAAAGTAAACTTTGATTTAAAAAATCTCTTGAAAAGGCTTAATTTTTGCGCTTTTTTTTTAAAGTCCGGGTCTTTGAAATTTCCTTACGAATTTTCTAGAAAGACTTAAAAATCTCAAAAACTAAAATTTTTTTGAAAAACAAAATTCCCGAAAATAAAAACTGACTGAAAAAAGTGAATTGAGAAAATTTTTTGGCCTTGAAAAAAATTGCCAAAAATAAAGCCTGATTTATTATTTCTCCTACTTTGTTTATCTATCTGTCTATCTAAGCACTCTACCCATCTGTCAATCTTCTTTTACTTGTTTATCTCTCTAGCTACTTTACTCTCTTCAGTTACATACGTATCTTTACCTCACTCCTTTAATCTATCTTACTGTTTTTTATGTGTCTATCTTACTGTGTTATTTTGCTTATCGATAAGCTTACTTCTCGTAATGCCTTTTTTTCATTCTATCTACCTCTATGATTATTTCAAAATGAAACTGAAAGTGCTCACTAAAAACGTGGAATAAAGCAAGTGAGGCCACTGGCAGAGACAGAAGTTTGCTCTTCACTACTAATGTCTGGTGACATACGTCAGTTTATTTAGGAATATGTGGAGACAGCTCCTTGTGGAGCGTTACCTTGACGTTTCCAGTCGTCGGTTACACACAATAAGAAAGGCGGAACTGGCCTTGATATCCCAACTAAGTGTAAGTTACAAATACATGTTAAATTACCATGTTATTGCACAAAACAGTCACGTATGAATTACTCGACAAAGAAAAAAAAAGTAAGAAAGTGGGATATTTAAAGCAAGAGGCTAGAGTGTATCTACAACTTTTCAAGCTATCGCAGATCATCGGAGCCACAGAAGAGAGACAATGAGTCAGGTCAGTCCGTTTATTCAGACAGTAAACTCACATGTGAAATACTTTGAATACTAAATTTGGTGGCTTTGTATCTTATTGGATTTCTGGAAATTAAGTCATGTAGTTTTTATATATCCACGTGTTCGTCAAAAGCAATATTATTATTTGTATCTTTATTCACTAATAGTGCATATAGACTTGGATGTTTTTAAATACAAAGTTTCATCACTTAACCTGCTAATTCCAGATTATTGAAATATTCTCAAGTTTGTAGCATAAATACGTATATATATATTTCGATGTTATGACGCAATTCATACTGATAGTTTCTCTCTAACTCGGCGTGGATTAAGAGTTAACGTCTTGGGCTATTGTAATTATTGTTTGTAATTATGCACAAAGCTACACAATGGGCTATCTGTGCTCTGCCCACCACGGGTATCGAAATCCGGTTTCTAGCGTTGTTAGTCCGCAGACATACCGCTGTGCCACTAGGGGGCTGTCCTAGACTATGAACCCGAGGGTCCACGGCTCGCTTTCTCATGACGCAAGATCGCGCTTGTGAAATTTCACTATCCGATCAGACAAAACGTAGCCCATGAATTGACAGTGGGATGTTCTTATTAGCTGCCTTTCCTCTAGTTTAGCAGTTCAAAATTAGGGGCGTCTGGCGTAGGTAGCCTTCGGGTATCTTAGAGCGAATATCCTCATCAAACAAACTTCCTTGTTTTATTCACGTAAAACGTGTTTTTCCGTTCTAATAGGCTTTAACTTCATACTTCCGTTTCTAATTTCCTTACCGCACGTAATAGCTGACGAAGTGTTTATAGATATTTCATAGGCCACTATAGAATTTCTTTATAATACAATAAAGTCTTACTTTTCAAGTAAACGCTCAGCTGCTATTTTGTAAATAATCGGTGTGATAAAATAGCTACAAAAGATTTTGAAGTCTGTTTTTATAGTAATGGTTACTTTTATTACTATCCTTAACGTACATAATCAGATAAATTAGGAGGTGAGGTATTACATAAATAAAGAACATAAGCAAGACCCCCGATAGCAACACTACAAAGACAGTTATGGGGGTTATTACCCAGGCACTCAGGTACAATATTTTTGTCATACATTAAAACACAACGTTTTCGCTAAACATTGTTTGCAAAGTGCAAAGTACAACGAAGTGCGCGATCTATCATTTAAAGCATAGAATCATCAAAATGCTCATTCCTGCTTTCTTGTTTCTTGTGAATTTCACGCAAAGCTACAAGAGGGCTATCTGTGCTACCATCCCTAATTTAGCAGTGTAAGACTAGAGGGAAGGCAACTAGTCATCACCGCCCACCGCCAACTTTTGGGCTACTCTTTTACCAACGAATGGTGGGATTGACCGTCACATTATAACGGCTGAAATGGTGAGCGTGTTTGGTGTGACGGAGATTCGAACCCAAGACCCGTAGATTGCCAGTCGAGCGGCCTAACCTTGAAAAGTTTCTTAACCGAAAACTGTCGACTGTTGTTTCGAGCTACCGATAACTGAGCTGAAAGCTGTCGACTGTTGTGTCAAGTTTAACTTTATGTCTATGGTAAACACTGGACTTGTCCTTATTTCAAGTCAATTATAACAATGAAGTAAGTTTTTGCTTTCCTAATCTTCGGTCAGGTGGATTATCATTTCATCAGTCACCAGGGTTAGGAGATCAAATTATCCCAATCTGTCAATTAAAAGACTTATCAGTTGTTTTTCAAGACTCATAACGTAGGTAAATTTCGGCCGAAAGCTCGTAATAAAAGTGTTTTAATGTAGAGATAAGTCCGTTTATAATTCTACAGACTTGTTAGTTTCTGAGGGACTGATCCTGCATCTAATTAGTATTTTAAGTTAGTTAAGAATAATGCAAAAACCAACAACTGGTACCTTTACTTTATATACCTAGCGTTTCCACGAAATTATTTGGAGATGTGTTACTGTCTCTTTCAGGTTTCCTTCGTCTTTTTTCTAACTGTCAGTTTCGTGATCGCTGCTGTCGTAAGTGGTTATAGCCTGTACAATTACGACCGATATTGGAGGAAACCGTACGACCGTTACGACTACGGGTACGAACGTTACTACGATTCGCCGTATCCACTACGATGGAATCGACCATACTGCATAGATTTGTACGGCTATCCCTGCTATCGATACGGGAATTATTATGATCGCTACCCGTATTCATGCCGTTACGGAAACAACTATTGTCAAGATCCTTATTACTCTGGTTACTATGGCTACAGGTACGACTATGACCCGTACCGCAACTGGTACCCTCGTGGCTACAGTAAAGAAGCTGAGAAAGACGACAAAGAAGATTAAAGAAACCTCGTGGTGAGTTGAAAATCTGTATATCTACCTTTCGAACCTCCAAATAGGTTTCAGTTTTATTCCATTATTTTTACTATGCTTGAAGTACATTAACTTTTGTAGACTGTTTTAATAGTCCTGTAGAAACGACTAGCGTATGAGAGTGATTAATAATTCCCAAAAAACAGCGTATTCAACTGAATAGCTGAAAAAAAGTCCTTAGAAATTCCGTCAGATTATACACATTTTAAGACAGATACCGACTCTGTGTGTAAACGTTTTTAAAACTAATATAGATATAGTGTGTTATTTTCTTGAAAAGAACATGCACGACTTTGGACAAGGACAAAAACATTATACTAATTTAGGCTTTATTATTCATTGTTTTATTACATTTAGACTCGGCTTTAAAAACAGTGGTTAAATAAGGAAACAGCATGGTTTGTTGACTTTTGTAGAACCTGAATTAATAGCAACACTTAAACAAACTCAAATAATGCTTTCGTTTCTCCTTTTCCCCTTTCTTTCGTTGATAATACAATAAATGCACTTTTATTGAGAATATTTTTGGTTTGGTTGTTGTTAACTACAAGGCTACACAAAGGGATAGCTTTGTTTCACCCAACACTGGTATTGGAACCCGATTTTTGAGGGGCTTGAGAGTTATCTTCGTTTATACTAATTTGTGTCTAATAAAGGAAAATATCATTATTATTTTGTGCCTCTAAATAAAAATGTTTGGGTAATAACAAAAATAACATACAAAAGGAGTAGTAGTTCAGTTAACATACATATTCATGGTTTAATTTAATTTCAACAATGTTTTCCTTGTTTGACACCAGGTGACTTACTGTTGGCGGTGGTTTCCTGACTTCGGTTTCCTTGAACACCGAGTGGCAGAAGGGTCTATTTTATTTTATTTTTCTCCACTTAAACTATTGAATCTACGGCCAATATACTCTGTAGAATATGTGATGCTGGGAATTTCTCTCTTAAAGATGTAAAGAAAAACGAAATAAAGCATAAAAATAACAGATAATCTTCGCCTTATTGGAATTGAAATTAAACCACACACACACATACATATACATATAAAGCCTTACTTCCATCATTTAAACATTTTCTTCATTAATAATAGGATTTTAATGGGGGTTTATAGGTATATATAAACAACGTAATTTCTTACTTATTCTTGGAAATTGTCCTAATATTGGATATAGAATGTTTGTGTATTGTTAAGCACAAAACTAAATGATGGGCTAACGAAACTCCATTTCTTGAGTTATAAGCTGTCAGACTTACCATTGAAACACCAGTGAACGGGCATAGAATGAAAATTACTTGACATGAATTCCGATAACCTGAGATTTTCTAAAGGTATATACACCATCCAATTTGAATTGCATCAGTAAAGACTTGCAGAATGTGCACAAAAGTAACTAGAAAAGGGTGAGCTTTTTGCCTCTATTTTAATTTATACATCTTGACAAACTATTTGAAGTCAAGATTTACTTAACCCTAATTACAATGGCAAGACGAATAAGAATGTAATAAACGCAAAAAGAAAGTGTTTTTTTTAAATGGTTATTTCGTCTTTTACAAGTTATGTCTAAGCGTAATGCCCACAAAATATTAATATAGAATATTAATTCTATCGGTCTGCAGAAACATCCAGTGTTAGCGAAAGGAAAAGATAAAAAAACGTATAATAATAATATAATTTTGTATAATTCTCTCGTAATAGATATTCATAATACTGAAATTTTCAAATTCTTTCATATCTGTTCTTTAGAGCCCTATCTATAACTATCTACATTCTATGTACTTCATACCTGTAATTCAGTAGTTTAAACTTATAATAATATGGACTCACTCTATGTACTCCTAAAGTTTATAAGTTTTTACAAATATTTCTCTAGCCCATAGAAAAAAAATTTTGAAGCCACTGTCCTATAATATCAACAATAAAAAGAAATCTTTTTGTTCAAATTTGATCCCCAAATATACAATATTTGAAGTTATAAAATTATAACTTTTTTTTTCATTTGCCTGCATCCTTAGCTTTTGACGTTAACTTTTCTAAAGAAACTAAAAGAAAGAAACGTGACTTCTCTACAGAATTATTTTTTGTGGTTGCTGATAATGATTTCGTTCTTATAAATATTTGAAAGGAACATCCGTTTACCACTAAAATAATTTTTAAAAAAGTAAATATTCAAAGAGAAAAAATGCAAGAAAACAGACGTCATGTTATCAAAACACACCGTCATTTTAAAGTTTTACTACATCTGTTATCATAAGAATACTGTGGAAATTCTGAATAGAACTTCTAATTTTATATTTTCTTTGCTATTTCTAAATATCGAGATATTTCTTATGCACAAGTACCTCGGTGGGCAGTAGTAAGTTTAAGGACTTAAAACGCTAACATGCGGAGTTCGATTCTCCACAGTGGACAGAGTGCAGATAGCTTATTGTGTAGTGTGCGATTCAAAAACATCTACACGGTCGCATTTAACTGTTAAAGACACGCTGCGTCATTCAGTATACTTTAAATCTCGAGCTGCTCACGATGATTATCTAAGGGTTATAATAAAAATAATTCTCATACTTGATAATTTATCGGGAAAATGTTCTCAAACACCGCAGACTCTCTTAAGAAAACTTTACAAAATCCAAAACAACAATTTGTTGAAGACTACGGATTTTCATTCTCTCCTTGTTATAAAAAAATTGTTTCAATCCAGTCCATAAATTTTCCAGCTCTAATTCCAGAAGGTAAGCAGACTAGAAGCGAAGCCGGTCATGTGTGATTCATTAGCTAAGTAAATCCGAAACTGTGCAAGAAATTAAAAGTTTCTGATTAGTAAGAGATTATAAATCATTATTCTATACTGGTCTTGATTCTTGAATCTAAGTTAATTTTTGCTAATGATCTACATAATTTAAACCTCACCAGGAACTCTAAGCAATTTTTGTATGAGAATAATTACTTATAGTTACCTCTGTAGTTTTTAATAACTTTAAAATATTAATGATCTAATACTTTAATGTAGTGACATCTGTTGGTCACATTTGTAACATGTTTAATTATTTTTGCCAAATGACAAAAACCTTTCGATATCACAGTGAAATAGCTTAATAAAATAAATTGAGATTCCTCTAATTCAGCGTTTCCTAGACTATGTTCCGCCGAACACTGGTGTTCCGTCCGAGATTGATAGGTGCTCCGTGAGAAAAATGGTGATTTTGAATTTTAATAAAATATTTAACACTTTTTTTTGTACGATCATAACTTATTATGAAATATTTTCCTATCTATTAGAATTAGATATTATCGATTTTGCATTGAAAAGGAATTATAAAAGATGCCATACAGCGTTTTGCTAACCTTTTCTGACATGGAACACTTTTTCAGCTGAGAAAAAGCTAACGGAACACTAGGCACGTGAAATATCGGTGTAGATGGTATATTGCGCGCGCAGCGTCCTCTAGAATTGCATATTATTCATTTATTTATTTAATCAAATTACATATTAATGCATTTTTGTATTTTTATGTTTATAATATATTTTAGGTACAAACCTCTCCACTAAGATATCCTCTATGTCATACGCATAATTAATTTCAAATAATTATAAATTGCTAATTTTGTACTAAAGTATGTCCTATTGCATGTTATTCACTCTAAAAAGAAGAAAAAAGTGTCAAAAGGCCATGCAAAAACGTTCGCCTGAACATCATGCAATTATTTCTCTTAAGAATTGTTTGTTAAGCTTGATTTCGTATTTTTAGTAATATCTGAATATCAATATCCCTCATACAAGGCTAAAGTCTGTTGAACTGCGAGGGTTATCTGCATTAACTGTCCATAATTTTGGAGATTATAGACTAGGCAGAAGGCAACTAGTCAACACCACTAACTCTTCGACTACTCTTTACCTACGATAAGTGATATTAACCGTTACTTTATAACGACACCATGGCTAAAAAGACGAATCCTGCAGGACGCAAATTGCGAGTCGAGTGCCCTAACCACCAGGCCATGCCAGATCGCAAGAATAAAGCCGTATGGAAAGTAAGCTTGTAGGTTTTTATCGTATTTTTAAGGCTCAGAATAATGTTATCATTCATTTATTATAAGTCTTTCAATTAATTTCGGGTTATTTTTAGAATACGATATCTAACTTGGTTTATTATGCATAGATAATATAAGTTTTACTAAACTACTATCAATAGGCTAGGCTTAGCTATTGTTTGTGCATTTACTGTAGTTACACTGTTACATTTAACGTGCAGTGTTGCAGTTCTCAATCTCGATCTGTTTATATTAAAATATAATCTCGTCTCCTTTAATTGGGCCCCCCAGTGGCACAGCGGTATGTCTGCGGGCTTACAACGCTAGAAACCGGGTTTCGATACCCGTGGTGGGCAGAGCACAGATAGCCCTTGTGTAGCTTTGAGCATAATTAAAAGCAAACAAACCTTTAATTGGAAAAACTAAAGTTGAAATCAAAGTCAATCGTCACGTGATGACAACAACATTTTGTCGTAGTGTACCGTACTCGTTGCACTGAAATGTTTGACTAAGCAAAAAAAACAGGTAAGGTGGTTCTGATGGAAAAGACAATATGCAATCCGGACTCCTCGGACAAAGGCCTTTCTAACAATATGAGATTAGTAGCGTTTGATTGAGAAACTTGCGAAAAAAATTCCTGACAGACAAACGCAAGCGTATTATTTACATATATGGTAGTTATCTATTTCTTTAAGGAAAATTTTATTGAATCAAAAGCGCATTGCCCCCAATAGCTCAGCTGTAAGTCCGTGGTGGGTACATCACACATATTCCATTGTGTAGCTTTGTGCTTAACTACAAACAAACAAAAGCGCATTTTCTACCGATATATTCTGTCTTATTTTTGGTTCTGTTCCATTTGCTTCTCGATATAGTTTTGTACAAAACCAAATAAACAAACAAAAACTCAAGAGCTATACGCACTAGCCATTCCTAATTTTGAAGTGATAGACTAATAGGAAGGTGGCTAGTCAACAACACCCACCGCTAGCTCTTGGGCTAGTCTTTACCAACAAATAATGGAATTGACTGTCACATTATAATGCCTCCATGGCTAAAAAAGCGAGCATGTTCGGCCACAGGTTTCGATACCGCGATGCACAGATTGTGAATCGAGCACCTAAATATGTCATGTTTTGTTGTTGTTGTTTTTCTTTCTGTTTTTTGTATAAATGAATTTATACGTTATGGTTTATGAAGATAAGTGTTATACTTCTTTGCAAGGGATTTATAAAAAGCTGAAATATTGTTTTACCCAATATAAAGTTTATCATTACAGAGAGATTTGTTTTTTGTCGAAAGATTTCTGGAAAAGATTTGATTTTAAAATACAACATTTTTATCTTCATCTGTATATTTTATTAAATGGTAGGACTAAATACGTAGAATAGAATAATATATATATGAGTACATTTGATATAAACATTTTCAATCACTATATATTTGTGTGTAACATACCGACTTCGAATCTCGACCTTAAATTGATAGCATATATAAATGATAAATGAATTCCCTAAAAGTCTGCGATAGCGTAAAATATTTCCCGCACTTTCAGCTGTGGGAGTTTTATAAGAGTGACAGACAATCCTTTAGCATGGATGGTGGGTGATGTTGCCTGGCTGCCTTTTATCTAGCCAATAGTTCAAGATTATGGACGGCAGAAGATAGTCTCAATAGCTTTCTCATTGTAACCTCTCTTTCGTTGTGAATTTCACTAAACACTCGGGAAGGTTATACTGTGGTTTAACGCTAATGACGTAAAACGTAATAAGGGAAACATGTTTTAATATTGGCCATATGTTACACACCAAAATACATATAATATCATCGACACTCGGGTAACTACCTTTTGGAGTTCTATAACAACTCTTATACGCAAACGTCCCTTAGCGGAAAGTTTTTATCAAAATTGCATTTAATACAGTTTAGAATGACAAAACCAACCAACAATCTAAAGAGAT